TACTGAATAATAGTAGTAATTACGTAGTGTAGTAGTAGTCGCCGTTGTAGGTGTAGTCACGATGTCGTGTCGTAGTCGTAGTCGGAGTAGTAGTAGTAGTAGTAGTAGTAGTAGTATAGAGTAGTAGTCGTAGTAGTAGTAGTAGTAGTAGTAGTATAGTAGTAGTATAGTAGTAGTAGTAGTAGTAGTAGTAGTAGTGGTGGTAGTAGTAGGCATAGTCGTAGTAGTCGTAGTAGTAGTAGTAGTAGTCGTAGTAGTAGTAGTAGCGCTAGTATAAGTAGTAGTAGTTGTTGTTCTAATGTTTTTGGTGGGGTGGTGGTTGTGGTAGTAGTAGTAGTAGTATAATAACTAGTAGTACTCCGAGTAATCCGTAGTAGTCGTAAGTATAGCCGTAGTCGTAGTAGTATTATTAGTAGTAAATAGTAGTAGTAGTAGTAGTAGTAGTAGTAGTCGTAGTGTAGTAGTAGTTATTAGTAGTAGCAGTAGTAGTGGTAGTAGTATAGTAGTAGTATAGTAGTAGTAGTAGTATGTAATTAGTTTAGTAGTATAGTAATATTGTAGTAGTACGTGGTAGTATTCCGTAGTAGCAGTCGCTTGCTGGCTATATATATATATAAATATATATATATATATATATATCAACCCATGTACGTATGTGTGTATGTATGTGTTTATGTATGCATCGATTTATGTGTGCATGTATGCATTTATGTTTATGTGTATACATTTTTGTATATCTATGACATTTACACCGCCCGCTGGGACACCAGGACATCGGTTGCCAGGCGGTGGATCTGGATAAATCCTCACCTTGCACTACTCGGCTCGCTAGCGTTCTTTCGGGACGATCTGGGCACGCCTGGACGCCTCTTGTCGAGGCCCCACGCTGGGACGCCGCCGAGAACCGACGAAGACGTTCGAGGATCGGAGATCTGGGCACGATGCCCGTCTGCTTCTGGGCACCACGACGAGAGAGCGCCCCGCGGCCCGCAGTGGCTCCGCGTGGGGCGCCTGTGGTTGGCCCGCCGCCCTTTCCTCGCGGGCCGCCAGTCTGGACGCCTTGCGCGTTCCTCTGCCCACCGCTCCCTGTGGGCATTCGATTAATATAAGTCGGGCGTGTCCCTCTACAGGAGGGAAATTCAAAAGTACAGAAAGTAGTTTGGGGACCATTTTTCGTAATTTTTTTGAAAATGTATGTTTGAGATTCTTTTTTGGTGTGATGCAAAAGTGGCCTGTAGGGGGACATGCCCGACCTAAGCCTTCGAGGTCTGAGGTTTTCGGGCGCTCTCGTCGGCTCCCGTCGGCTTCCGGCCTCGGGGCGCGTTCCAGCGGCTGCGCCTCGCCGAGGGCTCTTCCAGGCTTGCCCGGAGCGGCCCGGGAGGCCGCTGGAGGCCGCAGGTAAGGCCCGACAGCGAGAGGTCGAGGGTCAGGGGCAGTGTTCGGGGGGATGGGCTCAGGGAGAGACGCACCGACCCCCAATCGCGCACCCGTCTCCGACGAGGACTTGATAGCCCACGCCGCCCAGGAACGCGCGGAGTCGTTCTCGGGAGCCCATCGCCGATCTATCGGCGATGTATTGCCGAGTGCAGCTCGATGCCCCTCCGAGCCGGTCCCCCCTAAGCGTTCCCCCTCAGAGCGAGGACGTACCTTCTCATAGGCTCTGCCCACCTCTTCTCGTAGCGAGCAAAAATCACGGCGGGCGCTTTTGCAATTTTTGGCATCAGGAGGCCCTCGATGGGCCCTGGGTCTTCACAGAAACGATCGGGGAAACGTAAGACTCGAGTAAGCCAGAACTCGGGTTAGCCGACGTTTTTGTACGAGCGCGTGACGGTCTGGTTTTCGGCGGATGTTTGCAGCTGGAGGTCGCGTCAAATTTCAGATTTGGCCTCGTCATTCTCATGATGGCCCTGTCAGGCCGGGACGAAACACCAGTTCTGGGGCTGAGGTCCAGATCTCCAGGAGACCACGTTGTGAACAAAAAGACGACGTCGGAGTTCTGGGCTTCGGGTCTTGGGCCGCACCATGGCCCTCCCCCCAGCCCGCAAGGAGGATTGCGAAAGGAGGTGGTGAGGTCTTCGAGAGCCGACGTTGCGAAAACTAACGGCAGCGCGACAAACCACCACAGGACCCCTGGGCCCCATTTTCTTGCGGCACTCTTTGTCAAGCCGGACCGATCTGTGATGGTGCTGGGGCCCGAAGCTGGGCGAGAACGTCCAGCGTGAACAAAAGCCGAGCATTTTCTTCGGGCGGAGGGCAAAGTGAAATCCGAAACGCGGCTTCGATGGCTTTTCGAGGCCTGAACCTGCAACAGGCGAATCACAAGACGGATTGGTTTTCGAGATGCGAAAGCCCATGCGGATTTCATCCTGAGCCCTTCGCCCTACAGCCAAGACGCTGAAATAAGGAACAGTTTGGATTCGGAAGGGGCTCGATGCTCCCTACGTCCTTCCGTGGTTGTTCGTCTAGCCCTTATCGTGCACCCCGGCTTTTTTGAAGCCACGGAGGGGCTTCGTTCCTTATTTAGCGTTCCTTCTTTCAGCAGCCCGACTTTACGAAAATGCTCGGAAAAACCGTGGTGGCGAGGCGGGGGAGCGCGAGCTTCGGGGCCTCGGGGCCTCCCCGGCAGCGCTCGGGCGCGTGCACCTTCCCGGCGAGGGCACGGTGACCACACCGTGCCGTGAGTCGGTGGGGATTCGGGGTCACCGCATCGCCGATGCATCGGCGATGTATCGGCGATGCGGCGCGATCCTCCGACCCCATCTACTCCGACCCCATCCAGGAGGCGTCTAACGTGTGGAGAAGGTTCGGGCTGTGCACAGACAGCGCCCCCACGCAGTCCCGGCTGGCCTCCACAGGCCCCCCGAGCATCGGGGGCCCCCAGACGGGGCGGTGACCACACCGTGCGGTGAGCTGGTGGGGATTCGGGGCCACAGCACGGTTTAGGGACTCGTCGAGTCCTTCTCCGAGGACGTCTCGGGCGACGGGCCTCCGAGGTCCCAAAGCCGTGCGGTGAGGTCCCTTGGGGTTCCGAGGTCACCGCACGGTCTGTCACCGCACCGTTTCGGGACTCCAAACGAAAGGCCCTGGCTGGCCTCAACTGGCCCCCCGAGTAGTTTGGGGCGGTCTCAACACCTCAACCTTAGGGCGCAGAGAGCCTTAGGGGCGCCGCCGGAGACGGCGCCAGGGTGTTGAGACCGCCCTGAGCTACGGTAGGTTCGTGTCTGGCTGACGCGGCAGCGACCCCGCCGCGGGCGTTCAAGGTTGAACGCCACCTGTGTCCTAGAATCGGCCAAAACGGCATGATCTGGCGATTGAAAAGCCGCAGGTCGTTCAAGGTTGAGCGATCCATGCGGTGTCAGACACGACTGCCAGGGTCGCCACAGCTCGAGCCTTCTGTGCGCGGGGGGCCTGCTGAGGCCCGCTGGGCCTGCTCTGGGGTCCTGTTGAGGCCAGCCCGGACTGCCTGGGGAGGGGCTGTCTGTGCGCAGCCCGACGCCTTCCTCGGGGGCGGACAGACCCCCCAACAGTGACACGTCGATTAGTGAATTGTCCGTTTTCGGTTCTCGAGAGGGCGCCGCGGCCGTTATTTTCCAGGCTTGCGCCCGCCAGGTTTGGGCCTCAGGTCGTTTTCATTAGACCACGTTTTACTAAAGGGAGGTCTGTCCATCCCCGCCTTGCCAGGCTGGCTCCGCAGCTCTCCCCCCCCCCCGGGGCTCCCTCCGCCGCACGGTGCGCGCACGGCCGCGGCGCTGCGCGCACGGACTCGGCGCTGCGGGCCGCTCGGGGGGCCTGGCCGGGACCGCCCACGGAGGCTTCCTGTGCCGCCCTCCCCGCGCGGGCCGAAGCACCGCGCCCCGGCGCCGAGGCCGGCTCCGCGGCGGTGGCCACCGCCCTGCAGATCTTGCAGGAGTTCTACTCCGGCCAGGCGAGGCACGAGGAGGGAGGATGAGAAAGAAGAGAAGGAGGAGAAGGAGGAGAAGGAGGAGGAGAAGGAGGAGAGGAGGAAAAGGAGGAGAACGAGGAGGAGGAGGAGGAGGAGGAGGAGGAGGAGGAGGAGGAGGAGGAGGAGGAGGAGGAGGATGGAGGAGGGAGGAGGAGGAGGGAGGAGGAGAGGGAGGAGAGGGAGAGGGAGGAGGAGGAGAAGGAGGAGAAGGAGGAGAAGGAGGAGAAGGAGGAGAAGGAGGAGAAGGAGGAGAAGGAGGAGGAAGGAGGAGGAGAGGAGGAGGAGGAGGGAGGGAGGGAGGGAGGGAGGAGGAGGAGGAGGAGGAGGAGGAGGAGGAGGAGGAGGAGGAGGAACAGGATGAGAAACAAAAATCACGACGATATGTTTTTGGCAGCTTTCGGTCTCCGAGGGCCCTCAGCGGGCCCAGGCACTGTCACAAAAAGGTGTTTGGCAGTTTTCAGTTTCCGAGGGCCCTCGCCGGGCCTCGGGACCGTCAAACAGCGGCCCAGGATGAAAAGACCTCTGGGGGTCCCCGTTGCGAAATTACCCCACCAAAGCACCCTAACAGCAGCATACGTGAAGAGGCGGGTCAAGGAGCAGAAGGTCGGCCATGCGCACCTTACATTCTCTCCCAACGATCTTGTGGTGTTGTGTCCTCGTCTTGAATCAGCAGCGCCCCGCACCTCATCTCCTCTCCTCTCCTCTCCTCTCCTTTCCTCTCCTCTCCTTTCCTCTCCTCTCCTCTCATCTCATCTCATCTCATCTTATCTCATCTCCTCTCCTCCTCCCTCCCCCCCCTCCCCCCTCCCTGCCTCCGCCCTCCGCATGTCTCTGCTTCGGCACCCCTCACACGCTCCGTGGCCCCACAGGGAGCTCCACCAAGAAGGCCCCGGTGGCACAGCTCACATGCGTGACCACACCTATGTCGGCATAACTTTCACACGCTTCGCGGCCCCATCGGGAGCTCCACTGGGAGCCGCATTAGCAGGGCCCGCATGCGTGACCGCGCTTCGGCACCCCTCACTCACTTCGTGGCCCCATAGGGAGCTCCACCGAACGCCCTGATGACAGGGCCCGGGTGCGTGACCGCACCCATGTCAGCACACTCCTCACATGTTCCGTGGCCCCGCATGGAGCTCCACCGAATGCCCCAGTGGTAGGGCCCGCATGCGTGACCGCGCCCATGTTGGGACACCGCTCACACGCATCGTAACCGCATATCGGCGGCGAGCCCAGGGGGGACTGCAGAGGGGGCAGGCCTACTTAGAAGGCTCCGAAGGCCTCAGGCCTTCTGAGAGCTTGTCTAGCCTTCCCCGAGGACGCAGAAAACTTTTCAGAAGTCGCGAGATTTCTGAGAAACCCCCGCGGCCTTCTGAGAAGGCCTGCCCCCTCTCACTTCCCCCCTGAGCTGGCCGTCGACCAGGGAGCTCCACCGAAGGCCCCAGTCGCAGGGCCCACATGCGTGACCGCGCCATCCTCGGCATATCCCTAACACGTTTCGTGGCCCGGTGGGGATCTCTACCGAAGGCGCCAGTGGCAGGGCTCGCATGCGTGACAGCGCCCATTCTGGCACACCGCTCACACGTTTCGCGGCGCATGGGGAGCACAACCGAAGGCCCTTAGTAGTAGGACCCGCGTGACTGCGCACATTTTGGCACACCACTCACACGTTGTGTGGCCCCATGGGGAGCTCCACCTAAGGCTACAATGGTAGGGTTTGCACGGTGCCGCCCCGCCAGGATAAGCGCGCTTGTCCGTCATTTTGCTCGCCCACCTCCTCCTCATTTGCCTCTCGGTACTCGCAGTTTCACATGGTTAGCCTGACGAAGGACCCAACCACATGCATCTGGGAGCACCGCAAGGCAGGGGATATGAAGGAGAGGGGCGATCAAACTATGAGTGGCATGCGATATGACTTCCCCGTCAAGGCACCACGCCACAAAATGCACATGATTCGAGGCATGCGGGCGCTGCCACTGGGGCCCTCGGTGGAGTTCCGAAGCCTGTGCGGGGTGTGCCAAAATGGGGCGGGGCTGTCACGCGAGCGCTGCCACTGGGGTCTTCGGTGGAGCTCCTATGGGGCCACGGAATGTGTGAGGAGTGCGCAGACATGAACCTGAGTCCGAACTCGGGCGCTGCCACCGGTGCGTCGGTGGAGCGCGTGAGCGGTGTGCCAAAGTTTACTCGAGTCCGCTCGGGGTCCCTGCCACTGGAGCCTTCGGTGGATCTCCCTACGTGGCCACGAAAGGTATGAGGGGTGCGCAAACATGAACCCGAGTCCGGATGCGAGAGCTGCCACTGGGGCCGTTGGTGGAGCTTTCTATGGGGCCACGAAACGTGTGATCGGTGTGCCGAAATGGACCCGAGTCCGCATGCTGGCTGCTGCCGCTGGGGCCTTCGGTGGAGCTCCCTATGAGACCCCGAAGTATGTGAGAGGTGTACCCGAGTCCGCACGCAGGCGCTGCCTCTGGCGCCTTTGTTGAGCTCGTGGCCGTCTCTGGGCGATCTTGGGGGCTCTTAGGCCGTCTTGGACGTTCTTAAGTTTCTGGCCTCTTGGGCTAGTCCCCAGAGCCTCCAGGACGGCCCAGGAGTCGCGCGGTTCACGCATTTCGACAGTCTCTGATTTTCACTTCGTGTGATAGAGGGCGAGTCGTGTCTTTTCGGCACATCTTCGAATCCGCACCGCTGTGGGCGAGGGCGAGCTTGCAACCCATACTGGAGCCTTTCGATCCCCCGTGCGGTAGCCATTCTGGCTCAAGGTTCAGGGCCTCATCTGCGCACGCGCGCTCGACTTGGCACGCACTTTCTAGCGTGCCTGCTCTTGCGTCGCCAGACCTTGTGCAGACAATGAGCCTCTACGGCGCTCGCGGTGGCTCTTTCATGGCAGCGGGCCCAAACGGTGGCTTCGTTGCGGGCTCACGTGGGGCCTTCGTCGGTGGCGGCGCGGGCGGTGGTGCGATGGGCAGCGGGGTCTACCCTGGGATGGGCTACGCCGGTGGGGGCGTCTATCCCAGCATGGGGTATGCTGGCGGTGGGGAAGGCTGCTGCGGAGGAGTGGGCTGTGGCAACAGCTGCGGCGCGGACGGGTGCGGGGCGGGCGTGGCGCCGGCGTGCGGCGACGCGTGCTGCGGAGTCGCTGGCGCCAGCTGCGGGGGCATCGCTGGAACGACCATGTCGTACGTGGGCGCAGGCGGCGACTACATCGCCACCACCACCTACCAGTACGTAGGCCAAGGCGCGGGCACCTTCACAGTGGTGCCGATCCCGGCGGCCGGGTGCAGCGTCTGGTGGCTGTGCTGCCTCTGGTGGTTGGCGCTGCTCCCCTTCCTCTTCTTCGCGGGGACCACCACGACCACCACAACAACGCCCCCCATCATCATAAGCACTCCGCCTCCAGAGACCCCGCCGCCCATCGTGAACCCCACGCCAGCGCCCCCCGGCCCGGGGCCCTCGAAGCACTGCAAGATATTCGGCGACCCGCACGTGATTACGTTCGATGGGCAATCGGCGAGCTTCTACTCCCAGGGCGAGTACTGGACCGTGAAGAGCACCACCGTCTGGATCCAGGGCCGCTACATGCCGACTCCTGTGACCAACGGCCTCTCCGTCATGAAAGAGGTTGCGATCGGCGGCCCCTTCCTGGAGAGCAAGGACGGCACGAAGAATGTCCTCCGCATCTCCTCCCTCAGGGCGACCTTCAACGACGTCCCCATCATCGCCGGCTTCCCGGACGCCTGGGAGAACCAGGATCCTATGATCAAGGTGGTCTCTGACGGGAACGGGCAGGTGATGCAGTCGAGCCGCTACGGCAAGCAGCTGCGCGTCGTGCACGTGGACCTGCCGCTGGGCGTCCACCTGGAGATCAACCGCTGGAACGAGCCGGGCGAGGGCGACTACATCAACACGATGATCACCATGAGCAAGCAGCCGAACCAGGACGGCCACTGTGGAAACTTCAACGGTGTGCTCGAGGACGACACCCGGCCGCAGATCCGCGCTCGTATCGGCACCATGGGTGTCCCGCCAGAGGAACTGCTCTTCCACACCAAGACCCCCGTGACGCCCGCGAACCGGCCAGACCTCAACAACTGCCCCACCGACAAGACCGAGAACGCCCGGCAGATCTGCACGGGGAAGTCCAAGACCGGCATGCCCAACCACGACTGCATGGTAGACGTGTGCTTCGGAGGGGCACACTTCGCGGACATGACCGACTACGACTAGCGATGCGGAGCGCCGCGCATCGCAGCGGCGAGTCGTGCCGCCCTGCCGCACCCCATGGAGCTCCATGCCGAATTCTTTGATCTGGGCCGTCCGCCTCCATCATTGGATCGGGCCGAACGAAAGGGGTGGATAGGGAAAGGGGGTGTTACGACATCTGCCGCATGCAGCTGGGTTCGGCCCTGCCGCCGGGCCCATTCCTCGATACATGGGCGCCTCCCAGCGCCGGGAGGCGCTGGGAAAATCAGCTACGTGAGCTGATCCTCAACTCCCCCTTTGCTATCCCCCCCTTTCGCCCGGCCCGACTGGAGCGAGCCGCTCTGCAACGCTTGTTTTACGTACAGGGAGCGAAGAATGACACGAACATAACAACTCGGAGGTCCGCGCGGGCTTCTCGGATCGGCGCTGGACCCCCCCTGGTGGCGCTTCCGGCGCCGCCCCTGGCGCGCTCCGCGCGCCAGGGAGCGGTCCAGCGCCGATCCGAAAAATCCGCGCGGACCTCCGAGTTTCTATGTTTGTGTCATTGTTCGTTCCCCTGTTTGCGCAGCGTCACAGACAAAGGTGCGTGACCTGCCCAGGGACGATCCGTTGGCTCAGCTTGCCCCGCGAACGCAGGGAGAGTCTTCGGGAAAACGGGCCTTGGCGGCAGCAGCGTTCTGACTGCTGACGGGGGAAGGACGACGATAACGACGCGACGAGGAGGAGAAGGATGATGATGATGTTGATGATTCGGAGGAGGACGAGGATGAGGATGATGATAATGAGGAGGAGGAGGATGCCAATGACGACGACGATGACAATGACGATGATGGCGATGATGATGATGATGATGATGATGATGATGATGATGATGATGATGATGATGATGATGATGATGATGATGATGATGATGATAATGATGATGAGGATGATGCTGATGATAATGATGAGGATGATGCTGCTGATGATGCTGATGCTAATGATGATGAAGATGATGAGGATTTTGATGATGATGATGATGCTGATGCTGATGGTGACGACGATGATGATGATGATGGTGATGCTGATGGTGATGATGATGCTGATGCTGCTCATGATGAATGTGATGATGACGATGATGATGCTCATGATGATGCTGATGCTGCTGCTGATGACGATGATGGTTGTGGTGATGGCCACCACGATGATAGAAATGATGGTGATGTTGATGGCGATGATGATGCTGATGATGCTCATGATGATGATGGTGGTGATGATTACGATGACGATGATGGTGATGCTGATGCTTCTGATGATGCTGATGCTGCTGATGATGATGGTGGGGATAGTGATGATGATGAGGAGGAGGAGGAGGATGATAATCATACATCCCCAGGACGTTTTTCCCTACAACATTGCTTCAATACGTCTGCCCTCTTAGTCCTTACGCCGTCACGCTTTATCTCGCTACCATGTTCCACATCAGCATCGAAGGCAGCATTAGCATCACCGTCATCGTCGTCATGATGATCCTCATCATCGTCATCATCACCATCCTCATCACCTTGACCATCATCGCATCATCAGAATAAGCATCACCATCATAATCAGCATCACCATCACCGTCGTCACATCCACTACCAACATCACCACCATCACCATCACCATCATTTCTAACTTATCATCGTCACCACCATCGTCATCATCATTACTACCATAATCATCACCACCGTCAGCATCATCATCATCATCATCATCATCATCAGCACCGTCTTCATCATCATCACCATCATCACCATCAGCACTATCACAATCAGACATCCTCATCACCATCAACATCATTACCATCATCAGCACCACCATCATCATCGTCGTCATCATCAGCATTGTCATCATCACCAGAATCAGCATCGTCATCAGCATCATCATCACCATCAACATCATCAATAACAGCAGCACCATCGGCATCACCATCATCAGCACCCCTAACGTCACCACCACCATCGTCGTCGTCATCGTCATCAACATCATCATGAGCATAATCATCACCATCATCATCATGCTCATCACTATCATCATCACCACCATCACCATCATCACCATTATCATCATCATCATCATCATCATCATCATCATCATCATCATCATCATCATCATCATCATCATCATCTCCAGCATCATCTCCAGCATCATCGTCGTCATCATTACCATCAGCAGGATCACCACCATCATCACCAGCATCAGCATCGGCATCAGCATCAGCATCAACATCAGCGTCAGCATCAGCATCATCGTCATCATCATCCTACTCACCATAATCATCACCGTCATCAGTCGCATGTCGCCACACCCCTCACACGTTTCGCGGCCCAACAGGGAGCTCCACCGAAGGCCTCGAGTGGCAGGGCCCACATGTGTGACTGTGCCCATTTTGGGAGACCCCTCACACGGGGAGTGGCCCCTATCGGGAGCTCCATCGAATGTTCCAGTGGCAGGGCCCGCATGCGTGACTGCGCCTTTCTCGGCATACTCCTCACACGCTCAGTAGCCGCATAGGGAGCTCCACCGAAGGCCCCAGTGGCAGGGCCCGCATGCGTGGCCGCGTACATCCTGGTTCAGCCCTCACACGTTGAGTTGCCTACTCGGGATCTCCATCGAAGGCCCGAGTGGCAGGGTTCGCATGCGTGGCCGCGCACATTTTGGTTCAGCCCTCACGCGTTCCCCATGGGGAGCTCCACTGACGGCCCCAGTGGCAGGGCCCGTACGCGTGACCGCGCCCATGTCGGCCCACCTCTCACATGTTTCGTCTCTGCATCGGGAGCTCCGCCAGGGGCCGCAGGGGCAGGGCCCGCATGTGCGACTGCGCCCATCTCGCCACAACCCTCACACGTTTCGCGGCCCCACGGGGAGCTCCACCGAAGGCCCCAGTGGCAGGGCCCGCATGTGAGTGACCGAGCTCGGCACTTCCCTTACACGCTTCGTAGCCCCATCGGGAGCTCCACCCAAGGCTTCAGTGGCAGTGCCCGCATGCGTGACCATGCTCATCTCCGCACATCCCTCACACGTTTGGTGACCCCCAGTGGCAGGGTTCGCATGCGTGACCGTGCCCATTTCGGGAGACCCCTCACTCGTTTCGTGGCCCCCAGTGGCAGTGCCCGTCCGCGCCCATTTCGGGAGACCCCTCCCCCTCTGAGTGGCCCCATAGGGAGCTCCACCGAATGATCCAGTGGCAGGGCCCGCATGCGTGGCCGCGTACATCTTGGTCTAGCCCTCACACGTTGAGTTGCCCACTCGGGAGCTCCATCGAAGGACCCAGTGGCAGGGTTCGCATGCGTGACCACACCAATTTCGGCACACCCCTCATACGTTTCGTGGCCCCATAGAACGCTCCACCGAAGGCCCCAGTGACCTGGCTGGCATTGTGACTGCGCCCATTTCGGTACCATGTAATTTGTTCTGGCCCTTCCCTGGGCCGTTATCGGTCGTGGTTGCGCCTTTTCTTTCGCCCGTGTTAGACTTATCGGGTCCGGGCGTACTCCTGCCTTCTTGCGGCTGCCTCTCCCTCCTCTTCGCCGTTTCCCTTTGCCTCAGGTGTCCAAGTCACGCGCCGTTGTGGCCCAACGCTTGTTCGAACGAGACGCAACGTGGATTCCTGCATCACTGAAATACCAAAGCCACCCAGGGCGTCTGGTGCCAACCTGGGATGCTCTGAGATTTGTTTGACACATTTGGCTTCGGGCCTGCACATTCTTTTTGCATATCAGGCTCGGGGCAGGGCAAATATGTGCATCCCCGCGCGCACTTCTGCATCAGAGGAATCGCATAGCCACACTGGGCGATTCGTTGTTGTCATCGGCGTACGTTTTGTTTGGAAAGGCTTCGGTACCGCCAGCTTTTAGAGGTCGACTGTCTTGTGCTAAGGCTTCTTGCTTGTGCCTAGAAGGATCTCGCCACCACAATTTCAGAAAGTATTCCTGCTCACAGATAGTCATCGTTGACGCATGCCTTGGTTTTGTTTGTGCAGGCGCCAGTACCGCGAATGTTGAATCTTCGCTTCCCATGTCGGCTGATTCTGTCTTGCGCTGAGGCTTCTTCTCTATGCTCAGAAAGGCGTCAGTATCGCAAGGTTTCAGATATGGCTTTGGTTCATCGCGAGTAATTGTTGTCATCGGCGCTTGCTGTGTTTGGAAATGAGACGCTGCATCTAAGTTTCCAGATGTGTTTCCCGGGTTTGCTGACGCTGTCTTGCGCTCAAGCTTCCCGTCTATGTCTGTAAGCTGCTTGCGGCGCGGGAGGCGTCCTTCTTGCAGCAGCGGGGCAAGCAGGTGCCCGAGATGGCCGAGTACAAGGGCATGTCCGGCGGCGGCGTCATCGGCATGTCAGGGACTCAGGGGTGGCCCCGTTGAAGATTTTAGTTCGGAAGAAAATCGATGCGCTTTTCGCGCCCCCACTCCTTCATCCCCCTCCTCGCGCTCCTCCCTCTTCCGTCCTCCCTCCTCTTCCTCTCTCCTCCTTCCACTCCCTTCCCTTTGCGCGTATAGTTCTTCCACACGCGGGATCTCACAACTCGGCCCTCCAGTGTGTTATTCCAATCGGACCGCTTTTTTTCGGTTCCTCAGAAGTGGTGGGCCGCCGCCCTTCGCCCACCTCCGCCGGCGAAGCAGAGGACACGACACCGACACCGCTGCTCCCCCTGGAGAGCCCTCGTCGCCGGGGCCGAATTGACATCGACATCCGGGCTAGAACGGATCCCAGGAGAAGTCCTGGGAGTAGCGGTAATTCAGTACCATGATTATTACCTAACAGCGAAGACTGATAGGTTTCTAGTGGGATCAAAAGAGAGCAGCAGATCACTCCACAGGGGGGTCCGGGCAGGTGTTGGGAGTTGCCGGGCGGCAGGTGCCGGGCTCGTTTTTCACCAACAGTCACACACTTCGTGCTCTTCGACTTCCCAGAACTCCATTCCCAGGCCACATTCTCAATACCCGGATGCAACAGTCACACACTTCGTGCTCTTCCATTTCCCAGAACTCCATTCCCGGGCCACATTTTGGATGCCCGGAGCCAACTGTAGGCCACTTCGTGCTCTTCCATTTCCCAGAACTCCATTCCCGGGCCACATTTTGGATGCCCGGAGCCAACTGTAGGCCATTTCGTGCTCTTCTATTTCCCAGAATTCCATTCCCGGGCCACATTTTGGATGCCCGGAGCCAACTGTAGGCCACTTCGTGGTCTTCGAGTCCCAGAACTCCATTCCCGGGCCACATTTTGAATGTCCGGAGCCAACTGTAGGCCACTTCGTGGTCTTCGACTTCCCAGAACTCCATTCCCGGGCCACATTTTGAATGCTGAGGCAGGCTGATGCTGAGGCTGAGGCAGGCTGAGGATGAGGCAGGCTGAGGCTGAGGCCGAGGCTGAAGGCAGACTGAGGCTGAGGCTGAAGCAGGCTGAGGCTGAGGCTGAGGCAGGCTGAGGCTGAGGCTGAGGCAGGCTGATGCTGAGGCAGGCTGAGGCTGAGGCTGAGGCTGATGCAGGCTGAGGCTGAGGCAGGCTGAGGCTGACGCCGAGGCTGAAGGCAGACTGAGGCTGAGGCTGAAGCAGGCTGAGGCTGAGGCTGAGGCAGGCTGAGGCTGAGGCAGGCTGAGGCTGAGGCTGAGGCAGGCTGAGGCTGAGGCTGTGACTGCGACTGCCGTTGCCACTGCGACTGTCATCGCGAATGCGACTACGACTGCGAGAACAGCAGAATTCTACAACTGGATTCTCATCTGAATCTTAAGGGGAATGCTTCCAGATATGCTCCTACACATCGCTGTTAGGTTGCTTTGCCGGGATAATATTACCTAACAGCGAAGACTGATAGGTTTCTAGTGGGATCAAAAGAGAGCAGCAGATCACTCCACAGGGGGGTCCGGGCAGGTGTTGGGAGTTGCCGGGCGGCAGGTGCCGGGCTCGTTTTTCACCAACAGTCACACACTTCGTGCTCTTCGACTTCCCAGAACTCCATTCCCAGGCCACATTCTCAATACCCGGATGCAACAGTCACACACTTCGTGCTCTTCGAGATCCCAGAACGCCATTCCCGGGCCACATTTAGAATAACCGGATGCAACAGTCACACACTTCGTGCTCTTCGGATGCCATTCCCAGGCCACAGATGCAACAGTCACACACTTCGTGCTCTTCGACATCCCAGAACGCCATTCCCGGGCCACATTTGGAATAACCGGATGCAACAGTCACACCCTTCGTGCTCTTCGAGTTCCCAGAACTCCATTCCCGGGCCACATTCTGGAGGGCCGGAGCAACTGTAGGCCACTTCGTGCTCTTCGAGTTCCCAGAACTCCATTCCCGGGCCACATTTTGGATGCCCGGAGCCAACTGTAGGCCACTTCGTGCTCTTCGAGTTCCCAGAACTCCATTCCCGGGCCACATTTTGAATGCCCGTAGCCAACTGTAGGCAACTTCGTGCTCTTCGACTTCCCAGAACTCCCATTCCTGGGCCACATTTTCAGCAGGGGCAAGAGCACGACGAGGAGGAGGACGAGCAAGACCAGGAGGACGAGGACGAGCAGGAGCAGGACGAGGAGCAGGAGGAGCAGGAGAAGAAGGACGAGCAGGAGGAGGAGGAGGACGAGCAGGAGGAGGAGGACGACCAGGAAGAGGAGGAGGAGGAGGAGGGGAGGGGGAGGAGTACCAGGAGGAGGAGGAGGAGGAGGAGGAGGAGGAGGAGGAGGAGGAGGAGGAGGAAGAGGAGGAGGAGGAGAGGAGGACGAGGACGAGGAGGAGGAGGGAGGAGGAGGGGGGGAGAGTACCAGGAGAGAGGAAGAACGAGGACGCACCGAGAGGAGAGGAGGAGGAAAGGAAGGTAGGGAGGAGGAGAGATGAGGAGAGAACACCAGGATGAGGAGGATGAGGGAGGACCGAGAAGAGACGAGGAAGGACGAGAACGAGACGACCAGAAAGGAGGAGAGGAGGAGGAGGAGGAGGGGTAGGGGGAGGACTACCAGGGAGGCAGGAGGAAGGAGGATGAGGAGTGAAGAGGAGGAGGAGGACGAGGAGGAGGAGGAGGAGGGAACTCCATTCCCAGGCTCTTTCTGAATAACCGGATGCAACAGTCACACACTTCGTGCTCTTCGAGATCCCAGAACGCCATTCCCGGGCCACATTTAGAATAACCGGATGCAACAGTCACACATTTCGTGCTCTTCGAGTTCCCAGAACTCCATTCCCGGGCCACATTCTGGAGGGCCGGATGCAACAGTCACACACTTCGTGCTCTTCGAGTTCCCAGAATTCCATTCCCGGGCCACATTTTGGATGCCCGGAGCCAACTGTAGGCCACTTCGTGCTCTTCGAGTTCCAGAACTCCATTCCCGGGCCACATTTTGAATGCCCGGAGCCAACTGTAGGCCACTTCGTGCTCTTCGAGTTCCCAGAACTCCATTCCCGGGCCACATTTTGAATGCCCGTAGCCAACTGTAGGCAACTTCGTGCTCTTCGACTTCCCAAAACTCCCATTCCTGGGCTACATTTTCAGCAGGGGCAAGAGCACGACGAGGAGGAGGACGAGCAAGACCAGGAGGACGAGGACGAGCAAGAGCAGGACGAGGAGCAGGAGGAGCAGGAGAAGAAGGACGAGCAGGAGGAGGAGGAGGACGAGCAGGAGGAGGAGGACGACCAGGAGGAGGAGGACGACCAGGAAGAGGAGGAGGAGGAGGAGGAGGAGGGGAGGGGGAGGAGTACCAGGAGGAGGAGGAGGAGGAGGAGGAGGAGGAGGAAGAGGAGGAGGAGGAGGAGGAGGACGAGGACGAGGAGGAGGAGGAGGAGGGGGGGGGAGAGTACCAGGAGGAGGAGAACGAGGACCACCAGGAGGAGGAGGAGGAGGAGGAGGAGGAGGAGGAGGAGGAGAGAACACCAGGAGGAGGAGGACGAGCAAGACGAGGAGGACGAGAACGAGGACGACCAGGAAGAGGAGGAGGAAGAGGAGGAGGGGAGGGGGAGGACTACCAGGAGGAGGAGGAGGAGGAGGAGGAGGAGGAGGAAGAGGAGGAGGAGGACGAGGAGGAGGAGGAGGAGGACGAGGAGGAGGAGGGGGGGGGAGAGCACCAGGAGGAAGAGAACGAGGACCACCAGGAGGAGGAGGAGGAGGAGGAGGAGGAGGAGGAGAGAGCACCAGGAGGAGGAGGACGAGCAAGACGAGGAGGACGAGAACGAGACGAGCAGGAGAAGAGGAGGAGGAGGAGGAGGAGAGGAGAGGAGGAGTGAGGAGCAAGAGAAAGAGGAGGAGAGAGGAGGTGAGGCATGCTGAGCTGAGGCTGTGACTGCGACTGCCGTTGCCGCTGCGACTGCTCATCGCGAATGCGACTACGACTGGCGAGAACAGCAGAATTCGACAACGGGATTTTCATTACGAATCTTAAGGAATGCTTTCAGATAATCTCTACAACATCGCTGTTAGGTGCTTTGCCGATAATTTACCTAACATGGCGAAGACTGAATAGTTTCCAGTGGGACAAAAGAGAGCAACAGATCACTCCACAGGGGGGTCCGGGCAGGTGTTGGGGAGTTGCCGGGCGGCAGGGTGCCGGGCTCGTTTTTCACCAACAGTCACACACTTCGTGCTCTTCGACTTCCCAGAACTCCATTCCCAGGCCACAGTCTGAATACCCGGATGCAACAGTCACACACAAAGTGCTCTTCGAGATCCCAGAACGCCATTCCCGGGCCACATTCTGAATAACCGGATGCAACAGTCACACACTTCGTGCTCATCGACATCCCAGAACGCCATTCCCGGGCCACATTCTGGAGGGCCGGATGCAACAGTCACACACTTCGTGCTCTTCGAGTTCCCAGAACTCCATTCCTGGGCCACATTTTGGATGCCCGGAGCCAACTGTAGTCCACTTCGTGGTCTTCGAGATCCCAGAACTCCATTCCCGGGCCACATTTTGAATGCCCGGAGCCAACTGTAGGCCACTTCGTGCTCTTCGAGTTCCCAGAACTCCATTCCCGGGCCACATTTTGAATGCCCGTAGCCAACTGCAGGCAACTTCGTGCTCTTCGACTTCCCAGAACTCCCATTCCTGGGCCACATTTTCAGCAGGGGCAAGAGCACGACGAGGAGGAGGACGAGCAAGACCAGAAGGACGAGGACGAGCAGGAGCAGGACGAGGAGCAGGAGGAGCAGGAGAAGAAGGACGAGCAGGAGGAGGAGGAGGAGGACGAGCAGGAGGAGGAGGACGACCAGGAGGAGGAGGACGACCAGGAAGAGGAGGAGGAAAGAGGAGGGAGGAGGAGGAGTACCCAGAGGAGGAGGAGGAGGAGGAGAGGGCTGGAGGAGGAGGGAAAAGGAGGAGAGGAGAGGAGGAGGACGAG